CTTAATTACGTTAGCTTATATTCTTTCAAATACATTTACCGAAAGAGTAGTCTTAGTAACCGCTAAGTACTTTAATTCTTCTTTATAGAGTTAGTAAAGACTGTTTATTAGCTTGGTTCACTTAGAGAGGAAGCCTATTGCCATGAATCTCAGGAATAATAGGTTCAGGAACATACCGATCGATTCCACATACGAATTGTATGGGGAATCGGCCTTACCATTTCGGGAATTGCCAAGAGCCGGACTGACGAACCTCCCATACGAATCGTATGAGAGATCCGTCTTACCTTCTCTTCCCTTAAGCGTTATATCGTTATCCATAGGATAGGCATAATAATACTCAGATTCCATAGGCTTCGATCTCCCGGCCCAATGCTACGCTGGTCCTAATACCTATATAAGTTCAATCACTTATTATAAGAAGTTTAGTTAATTAAACGTTCTAGTTTAGGCAATTCTAGCAATAAATCGAGGTATAATATATTAAGTTATCGCGATAAGTTTTAGGCGCTACTCGTAAAATACAACTCTTTGTAGTTGGTTCTTCTTTTTTTCTTTTTTAGTTCTAATACCTTACCTAGCTAAAAAGCATTTGGGTCTTTTCTTTTCTAAAATTACCTACGATCTCACGTAGAGGTGCTTAGGTGTAGTTAGTAGTGAATTAAACAATAGGTGGGAAGCTATGGATTAAGGAAAAAGCGCGTTGACGCGTACGATCCGCGTATAATTGGTGCCACCTCACTGTAGCTTTACCGACGTCTATATTCATTACAGGTCTGCGAAGGCCTAGCATCGTTTTATTCGCTCAAGGCGGCACTCAACAGGTTCGACGAGCTGCAATTGCACTGTCGCCAGATAAGTGCTAAACGTTTGTCTGGCATAGCGAGAGCCACATCCTTCTGGAGCATGTCGTCAACCATTGCCTTGTCCCAGCCCTCATGCGCAACTTCAATACTGCCTAACAAATAGAGCGTCCAACCAAACCGCATTGCACCAGAAGGCAAGAGGATGATGAAGGTCTGCAGAGGCAACAGGTGGAATGAAGGCAAGATGATGCCTACAGATCAATCCGGGTTCCAATCAGCGAGTCATTGAAAGAGCACGGACGTGGAAACAAATGCCTTCCACAGACCAGTCATGGGCGACCACCAATGACTGTGTTGGGATCAACTGTGCTTGCCGAGAAAGCCAGGAGACAGTGTAGCTAAAGCATGGCGCCTCGGTCAACGATGATGAGGACATATCGAACACTAGCTTGTTCGCCTTGCGTTACGTATCTGCAGAGCTAGTAATTCATGCACATCCATTACTCATTACCATTGGCGATGCCCTTGAGTCGTTGTGTCGGATCAACGGCTCAATGAGAGAATAAGTAGGCGACCTGCCTGGAGATGAGGAGGCATCGATGGGCTGAAAGGCCTGATTGTGGTCCATGATACTCCACTGAAGATAGTCTTAATACCTGAGAGCAGCTTCTGGGACGCACTGTAGTCTAGGCAGAAACGTACTTAGGCCCCTTGAAGACCAAGTCACAAGCCATTTGCAGCGGCAAACTAGTCCTTGGCGTTCGAGAGGCAGAAATTTTATGGGCTCCATTGGACACCGCTTCCAATACTTTGTACGCCTTTTAGTTTTTTTGGGAACGGTTATCTGTGGATAGCCTATTGTAAACTCAGCCAAAAACACACCTGAAGCCTTCATGGCGCGGAAAACTCCATGCCATGGATCGTGTATTGTTTTGGTCCAGCGAGCTGGCGGGCCCAGGTGAAGTTCATCTCATTCCGCAGGAGCCTCTTCCAGCTGTTGACCATACCCATTGATCCCTTCGTGATTTGCTAGGCATTTTGAGCTCACAATGATAGAGCTTAGCGACAGCGCCTAAAGCGACAACATGGTTCTTTCTTCCATCACAGGCATCAGCTAATCGCCTAGGACAAGGTTGATTCGTCCTCTTGCTGACCGTAGCAAAATTTCAAGACCAACTGCGCCCGTTTTCTCCTACCCTGATCGGAAGCTCAGTCCAATGATGCATACAACCTTTGCTCGTCGGGAGTTATTAGCTCCTTAAGAAGAGACGGAGTACATGTTTTAGCTGAGCAGGGCATTGGGTCAAGGAATGTCAAAATCCATCTTGGAAGCTAGCTGTGGTTGACCCGGGACGCCGTTGGTACTTTTGCCATTTGAACAATGAACAAGACGTCGAAGTGACTGACTCCGACCTCACTGAGCCACACCGTAAGTCCGACGGTCAAAACTATTGTTCATCGCATTGGCTACCAGCGGTGGCCACAGCCTCCATGGGGGGCTGCCTGTGGACCTGTGGACTTTAGACCTTCTGGCTAGTGGCCACCTCTGGATGCTTGCACGGCTCACTCATTCAAGAAGATTGCATTTTCCGGATCACCAGTTTTTCCATGGTGCGCACGCATAGTGGTGTACTAGGAAAAGGATCCGAGCTTTATGCTTGCTACTTGCCGAGCGATATGTGTGCCGAGATGAAGACTCGCAGAACAAGGATATCCTAGCCTCTACCACCAAGTCGAAAGCAATGTTTTGCAGCCAATGCGATTCCTGTGGTGGATAGGCTGCAGTTGATTCGTCTGAACCAAAAGACTGTTGCCCTCTTACACACCTTTGATTCAATGCCGTCCAGCGGAGGCTGTGATAAGCTGGCTCTGTGGTCTGCATGACACAGCCTATCCATTTTCCGGTACCAAAAATGATTTGTGTCACAGCCAGGTGGCGACAGCGTTGAGTATATTTACACTAGGACTGGAGCAAAAATCGGAAAAGCAAACTGCAAACAATGTCACAGGAAATGCGATTATCTTTTTAATGACACTCTCGACCTCTACAGCTCGCGTATCAAGCGCCGAATTGTCTCCTAATCCAGCCTTTCAACAGGTCCTAAGCACGCGGTGCTGGAAAGCAAACGACAGTTTTTGGCTTGAAATGAGGAGTTGTCAAAAGCCACACCGTCTACCTGAACCATCCAACAGCGTTCTCGCATTAATCTAGCACTTATCAGCAGGTCTTAGAGACTAGCTTTGGCTTGGATGAAGAATGTGTAACCAATCAGCAGACATCTGGATTCATGGGAACCGAGATGGGCTAGGAAATTGCGTCACTGATGGCGAAAAGGGGAGACTTCTTACGGCCCGAAACGGATGCCAATCTGGCAGACGATAGGGACTTTGTCGAAGTTCTACAAGTCTACACGAAAGCGCAGCGCCACTAGATCCACAAGTTTCAGGGGATGCCGCCCAATGAGCATACCAGTATCGTCCCACCCACCGAGGATGAGCCGGTGATGGAGCACGTGGCTGAAAATATGCGAGCAAGTTCAAAAGGACATGCACTGCCTCGAGATGGACAAGAACCGGTGTTTCCATGAGCAGATCAGAGCCACCATGCTGAAAAATGTGGCGACTGCTGAGGCGGACACTCGACATGGTGCAAATGGACAATATCTCTGTACAGATGGGTTTTCAGCTAGGGATGAAAGAGGTAATGTTCTTGTCAGAAATCTTGGCCGAGATCGCCTCTCGTTAACGAAGGTCGAGATGCCACCAGATTTCCTGCACTGGTCGTAACCGGCGGTGATTTGGAAACGTGATGCAGTTCGCGTGGGCTTGTATGAACTGTAACGTGCAGTCATGTAGAGCGCTGGGGTGGATGGAGCGGCGACAAGAGACAAAGTGAAGGCAAGTTCTGTCCTCTCCGAAGCTGACTGCAGGATACACAAGAGGCAACCGGAGCTGACGCAAGGTTTCTCTTAATGAGTCATGGAGGTGTGGCAATAGTCGTCAAGACAAACGAGGGCTCACCCTGTTCTTCCTGTTCTATTGGAGTTCTATGAATACGAATCATGTGTCTAGCTGTTGTCGTCTGATACAGCTCCGCCACCCCGATCAGTGGTGAAGACTTCCCATGACTAAGGTGGTTTCTTCTGGGCACGAATTACCATTGACAGACCGACTGCTGCATTTGGAACAATCTGCTCGTTCCTAGAATCGTTTCCACATTTCTCGAAATGCTTCATGGAAGTGCACAGGTGATCAGGTGAGTGGTATGGAGGGCACCATCGTGAGCACGAATGCTCTATTGCCATTTCGTGAAGAGGAATGTGCCGCCAAAACTAGATGTTTCCTGGCATTGCCATCGTTCCTTTTGGTAGAAGCGACCTGTCATGAGATGATGTTGTCCCACGTTTGTCAAGCAGTTCTAAGGGGAATGCTTTTGTCATCTTGGCAGTACCTTTGGTTCATGCTGTTATCTCCTCTGTGGGACAGAAAACACACCAGAAAGGGTACGAAACCTCGGGGACTGAATTGAATGATTGTATTGACTGTTTATCGGAGAGCAAACGTTGGAGACATAGATCAACTGCGTGGCTGGATACAGGCAGGAACAGAATAGCAAACAATATGCTCCTTGTTTAATGACCAGTAGATGTTTTAATAGTATTACTCTGTATTGTCTAGCTAATACTTTTTTGGTGGCGTATTACGTGAATTTATTATTGTTCATAGGAAAGGTGTGATATTTCAGTAGCATACTTGCGAAGCATTTCCCAATAGGACTTCAGGTAGCACTAAGCCTCTTGTTGATGACCAAAGTTCAGACACAGTCCCATGCTAATTGATGCTGAGTCTCAACGCTCGAAGTTGAGGGGAGAGACAGATAATGCTTGTCGCATAGTTCCGGAAACCGTCTCTTGCCCGAGCTTCGCTTCGAATCCCTGATGTTTCGAAGGTCGGAAGGGTAAGCCGGCGCTAGGGCTGAGCTATCAGGTGTTGGCCCATGTAGCGTCCATCCACCACATGAATTTACGATATTTTCGGTGTTTAAGGACGGTCACTTATGTGCTGTAAGACAGACTATGTTTAATTGACTTTTGTTTTGAGCTGCTGATCAAATTAAGGTACATATTAGTTATGGCAGAAAGTTTGTGCTCAGAAACGACTGGAATGAGCACAAACTCATTCCAGCGAGCGTCTGCCTCAGTGGTCCAACGGTAGGATAATTGCCTTCCAAGCAATTGGCCCGGGTTCGACTCCCGGCTGATGCAAATTCAGCCAGTTCTTCAAGAGTAGTTGAACTTCTTTTTTGCTCGACGAGCTTTTTCTGCATTGCTACATTTTGTCTTTTTGGGTAAGTCTGTCTCATAGACAACCAGTTTGACGCTTTTGTGGGTTGTCGTCCCTAACGCTGGACCAATTTCGGAGTGAAGCTTGGCCGTGCCAGCTCTGGTTTTGATGCACAAGCCAGATCTGCTCTCTACTTACATGAATTGTTGACAACAATGACTGTAAAGCTGATCTAGTATTTTTGCTCATCTGTAGCACTCGCTAATCCTTCTTATGGTGACTGATGGTTTGCGCGAATGAGATTGATTTGAGGAAGCATGTGGATAATAGATGAAAGCGCAAGTTCAGATAGATGAAATGGTTCTAGTGCTTGCATTATAGTGTATTACCACAAACGTGTCTTCTCAGAGCTACGGAACCAGATCTTTAACGAATCAAACAGTCCCTTTTTCCGAAGGAGTAGCTTGTCCTGGCAGCAGGAACCATCGTTAAGTGTATGCATCGTGACTAAATGCGTTCTCAGTGTGTAGACGTCTTTACAAATCAAATTGTGATGACCAGCATCAAACACGCAGTTCGTGGTGTACTCCCTCAAGACCTAATCAACTCTCGGTCATTGTCATCACTATCACCGTCAGCAGCAGTAGTTCTCAACCGTAAATCACATCCCGACAGAACCAGGTCCAGTTGAGGCGAGCAACTGCGGTCTGATCATACTAATCTCTACCGTCCACCACCTCTTCCGTAGAGTTGTTGCCATTACGCCTCTACGAAGGCGCTTGGAGACCTTGAGGTTGAGCAAAGTGGCATGGATGGGGTCGATATCTGCGGCAGCTGTGTTGCGATTCATAGCTAGGACTGAGGCCATGGCAATGGAAGTTTTGGTGTTCCTTGCTCGAAGTTGTAGCGCCAGTGCATACTAAGGCCCAGTTGCATTAGTCAAAGAAACCAAAGGCAACAACTTTGGTCTAGTTCCATGCAAGATGTCTTATTAGCATGTCAACAAGGCATGCTGACTGAGTTGCTCTAGTCGTGTTTGTCAATGTGTCGAGGGCGATGTTTTCATTACGCGCCAGGCGCAAAAGAATTGTCGTTTGTTTTCTTCTTCTCCAAAGTTGAGTGTGCCACTGCTCGTGATTTGTTCTGTATAAACACCATCTCAGTGAATAAGGACGGAAGTGTATGAATGAATGCTGTGATTTCTCGGCAGAAGTAGATGAATGCCTTTTGCAGCGCGATTGAAACAATGGATGCAGTCAGTGATTAGCGCTGCTACAACGAGCGTATTTGCCATGTGTAGCGCTAAGAGTCTCGTGCTGATCGAGGTTTGGATTGAAAGAATGAGTCGGCTCGGAACGGAAAGACTGATTGAGTTAGCATCAAGGCGAGTATGTTCGGTTAGCTAACAAAGAATAACTGTATTCAAGAAGTGGGCATCTTGTTATATAGCTCGAATATAACCGAAGATGGCTGGAAATACGAACATGATGCATTGTTTATGGCGGTAAATAGTCAAATGGGCAATTTGAGGTTGGGTTGAGATTGTGGCCCAAGCAGTTTCTGCCACGCACTGACGAAAGTATGAACAAAGCACAGAATCACTGACCGCCTCTCGGAATGGGTTGTTCACCTCACTAAGCACAGGCCCTAGCTAGTTCATCAGCAGCCTCAAGGCCCATGGAATCGAGAGCTGACGTAGGTCGCCATAATGCTGTCCAACTCCGAGGAAGACAACAGGTATTCCAGTTGCAGCGACCATACTGACAATGGTACCAATCTGGTCACCTACAGTATCACACTTACTGATGATGAAGCCATCTAAGCCTCTGTTTCTGCCGAACGCCTTGTTGAAGTTCCTTGCTTGATTTACTGAGTCATTGCCAACGAGTGCTTCAGCGACCTGTAAGATCTTATCGGGCTTCGCAAAATCTCCAAACTTCTCCAAAGCAGACATCAATTGAGCGTTGTTGTGTGCGCGACCAGCCGTATCGATCAGCACAACGTTGAAATCGTTGGCGGCGGCGAATCCGACGGCATCCCTCGCGACGTTGGCAGCGTCCTTGCCGTAGCCTTTTTGGTACAAATCGACTTGGCCGACATTTTCTCTGGAACTCAGCTCTTTGAGATTGCGAACATGAACAGCTAGTTGCTCAACAGCACCGGAGCGAAAAGTGTCGCCTGCTACCACAAGCACACGGTAATCGTTTTGGAGCAGGAAATAGCAAATTTTTGATAAGTTTGTTGATTTGCCAACACCGTTAACTCCAACAACACTGATAACATACGGTCGTCCAGGCTGACCAGCCTTTGTTGGCTTCGTAACAGACTCAATCTCTTGCAGTAGATCTAATGATGTCTTAGGTGTAAGCAATTTCCGGAGTGAGTTTTCAAGAGCTGGCTGGAGAGCTTTGTCAGTGCTTTCGAAAGCACCAGTCTTTTTGCCAATCATTTCAGCTTCGACACCTTCACAAAGTCTGAGTGCAGCTTCTCTTGCCACATTTTTCTTGATCAAGTGCTCCTCCATTGCTTTCAAAGGCTTCTCCAGATCTTGTTTGGTCAAAGTTTTGCCTCCAACAATGTTTCTGAAGTAGCCAGATATCACACCAAGCGCGCCGCTCGATGTGGTGCTTGCCTCGCTTTCGGCCTTCTTTAAACCTGACTCTTTCAAGATGTCGTTCAGCTCATCATCAAGATCCTTCAGAACGAATTGTCCTTGCTTGTTTTTGGTACCCCAAGTCTCCGGGGCAACGAAATCAGGCGTAGCCTCGTTCCCGTTTGTTGTCAGAGATCCGTCTTCAACATTCGAATAATCTAACACTGCTCCGTCCTCCTCAGCGGCCATCCCATCGGCATCCCACACTCTGCCCTTCTTTGCGTTTGATCTCGGCGTTTTCGGTCGTCGTGCCTCGTCCCCAGAGGAAGCATTGGCTGAAGCGGTGGTATATACGTTTGCAGCTTTGCGTGCTCGTCGCGATCCTCTACTACCAGGACGTTTGTCAGAGAGGAGATGCGAACCAATACCAGGAAGTGGGGTTGTAGGTCTTGAACTTTCCGGAGACTGAACCGGTGTACTGTCGACAGATTCACCATTGAGAGGGGCAGTCTGGGACTGCGCCCTGAGCAACTGAGGAGGTTGTGGCGGAGGTGGGCCTCCATCGTCTCTTGCTTCCGGACTAGCTTTTTTGTCTTCGACGCCTGCCCGAGGAGGATTTCGACTCGCCTCACCGTCAGTGGCTTGATCTTGTCGTCGGAGAAGCTCGTCATAGTAGGCATCAAAATCGTACTGGGACACTGTTGCTCGGGCCTCGAGCTGTTCGCGATATCTGCGCACAAAGACGGTTTGTACTTCTTCGAGGAACTGGTCGACCCACGACAAGTGCAGCAGGGACTGATAAACAGCGACGAAAATGAGGCCGAGATCTTTCACTAGTGTCCACCGGAGAGTGTATTTGTCGTACTGAAAGGAGGTTGCACGGGTTTTTTCTTCAATAAAGACATCGTTGATGAGTGTATTGACAGCGGTGGCAGCGACATTAGGGCTGTTGTTTCGCGACCAAAGCACCACCCCGGAGGTGGAGAATATCTCGAATGCTTCAAGCATAGTAGTTGCCAAGGGATTCTGTCAAGGGCAAGTTAACAGAGAGATGATAATGTAGTTGACTGTAAAACTGTGCTACAAGATATGCGGAGGAATTGACTGAGGTCACTCCGCAGCCACAAGCACAATTCGGCGTCACGTAAGGTGGGCTGCAGCCTTAGCGGCAGAGCCTCTTCTTCTGAACAGCCATTCCGCTTCACTTGGCAAGAAGCAGCAAGTCTTTTCGAGCTATTGACGCATATCCAGCATCACTAGCCTAACTCATTTTGTTGCAAGGGTGATCGTCGAGTAGATACACATTCATCATAGCCTTCCCTCATGATTGCCAATCATTAGAGTTAGTGTCTGTGGAGACACGCGGCTAAGGGGAAGCTTGGCATGGAGTTGGTGGTCGGCGCAGATATCTAAATGTGGCCGCTTTTTGGTGCCAGATATCATTTTTGATGCACTGTAGTGTGTAAATATGAACTTGCGACTTTTCACATAACGACGAGCTTTCCCAAGTTACTCACGTTGTACAGGCCGCCAACATGCAGCGTCAAGCGTTTCCTCCACCTAATCAAAAGAGTCCTGAACTCTTCCATCCTCGACCGCAACACATATCGCAAGTGCCTCACCTGCGATCTCCTCCACCACCGGTTCAGCCACAGCAGCAACCAGCTGTCAATAGCTATGGCAATCCTTATGGCTCACCTCCCATACAACAGGGCGGCGTCGACCCCGCCTACGGAGGAAATTTCTTTGGTGGGTTCATGAATGATCCAACGGCGCAGATGGCATCTCAGATAGGCAAGTCCGCCATGATGTCGGGCCAACATTATGTGGAACAAAATGTAAGAATGAGCAGCTATAGGCGAAGAGAAGAAGCTGACAAGACTCTAGTTCAGTCGATACGTGTCTGTCTCCGCCTTGAAGCATTACTTCAACGTCTCTAACTCCTACGTCGTTCGAAAAATACTCCTCGTTCTCTTCCCGTGGAGACATAGATCTTGGAGCCGTCAGCAAGCACGGTTGAATTCCGCCCCTGGTTCAGATGGCCCTCATCAGCAATATTCACACATGTACTTGCCTCCGAGAGATGACATCAACTCTCCCGACATGTATATCCCGATCATGTCGCTAATCACGTACATCCTCCTCTCCACGGTCCTGGCTGGTGTGAGGGGAACATTCAAACCAGAGCTGCTTGGAAGCATCACCACCACTTCCGTTGCTGTCATTTGCACCGAAATGGCAATACTAAGGTTCGCCATCTATTTGCTAGGCATCACCAATGAGTCCCAGCTGATTGACCTCGCTGCCTACTCTGGATACAAGTTCGTCGGAGTTATTGTGACGCTCTTCCTCTCCGAAGTACTTACAGGTGGTCGAGGCACCAGCAAC